GGGCATTCTGTGCAAAAGCACAGAGGGAGAGCCTGGTCCTGGCGAGGGGACGGCAGGCTGGCCTCCGGGGGAGAGGACTGGCCGCTGGCATCTGGGTCTCAGGCTGCCCAGCACCCCCTCCCCTCCTTTGTAGGAGAACCACCCTTTCAGAGCAGAGTATTAGAGAGGCTGTCGATCAAGGGGGGCCACCCACCGGCAGTGAGGCAGGCCCGGCAGATAAGCTCCAGATAAGCTCCGGTTTCTGGAATTTGCCTCCAAATACAGAACGCTAGGAAGGAAAATGCCTGGGGGAATGGGGTTTACTCTTTTCTAAGACAATGCTTTGCAGAAGCTCTTTGTTTCCCCGCCCCAAACTTCCTGAGCCTCTCTGGCCCGGGCCCTTTCAGGGCCTGGCTTCTCCAGCTTTTCCTCCATTTGGTGGGAGATTCCCCTCATGCGTTGTCACGTCTTTTAGCATAAATCAGCCATTGCTGGGTTCAGGAACTCATTTAAAATTTTTTGTATTTATTTAATGTATTTTATTATTTTAATAAAAATATACAATATATAATAATATATAACACATATGTAAATATTATTTTATTAATATTTATTCTTTTTATTTTAGTTTATTTATTTAGAGAGACAAAGAGAGAGAGAGAGCATGAGCAGAGGAGGGGCAGAGACAGAGGGAGACAGAATTCCAAGCAGCCTCTGCAATGACACAGTGCAGAGCCGGGACTCAAACCTGTGAACCCTGAGACCATGACCTGAGCCAAAGCCAGCTGCTCAACTGAGTCCCCCAGGCACCCTCACCTGCCATCTCTATGGTATACACAGCAAATCATCACAAAAGCCCCCATCTGTTGAGTACCTACTATGTGTCGGGCACTGTTTTCATTGACTTGGACTGCTGCAACAACGCCCCACAGATTGAGTGTCTTAAAGCACAGAAACGTATTCTCTCACGGATCTGGAGCCCGGAAGCGCAGGGTGAAGGTCTCGGCAGGTCTGGCTCCTTCCCACGCCTCAAGGGATCTGCTCACACCTCTCTCCTGGCTCCTGGGGATTTGCTGGCAACCTGTGGCAAGCCTGGTTTCTGCCACATCATCCCGATCTCTGCCATCCCTTGTCTGGTGTCCTCTCTGTATGTCTGTCTGCCCATCTCTGTGTCCAAATTTCCCCTCTTTATAAGGACAGTAATCATATTCATTTAGTGCCGGCCCTCGTGACTTCATCTTAATTTGATGACCTCTGTGAAGACCCTGTCTCCAAACAAGGTCACACTTTGAGGTGCTGGGGCTAGAACTGCGGCGTGTCTTTTTCAGGAGAGGACACAAAGCAAACCGTGATAGGCGCTGTCCTAAGTCCTTATATATTTAAAATTTTTTCCTCCCAGAAGCCCTCTGATGCAGGCACTAGGACTAGGCCCATTTTACAGATGTGGAAACTGAGGGTCAGAAAGCTGGAGTGGGTAAGTGGGAGTCAACACTTGGAAAGTGACACAGGTGGGCCCTGAGCACGGCCTTGTCTGGGCCCCAGGCACTTGCCTCTCCACGTCACCACGCGGCCTCAATTGCATAGTGAAAAACAGCAGTGTGTGTGTGTGTGTGTATGTGTGTGTGTGTCTTGATAAATGTTATCAAACATTCTCAGCTCTGTCCCTGCCAGGAAATGCACAGACAGGTCGCTGTGCCCTGTGGCTCTGTCTGGTCTGAGGGGGGTTGGTCTCTGAGGACTGGCCTGTCCTTCTTCTTCCAGAGTTTTGAGTCTCCCTCCCATGGAGGTGACAGGTCCGTGAGGTCACGACCCATAGGATACTTACAATCTGTTTCTATGACACGTAATAAGGTATCCCTAGCGTCGTTTGGGCAGAAGTGTCAAAAATAATGATGGTGGTTAATGGATGCATTGGGTTGAGTTCCTGCACGCTTAGTGCATTTACAACAATCCCTGAGGGGTAACATGTAATTATCCTCATTTTTTAAATGTAACTTTACTTTTTTATTAAAAAATTTTTTTAATATAATTTATTGTCAATTTGGCTAACATACAGTGTGTAAAGTGTGCTCTTCACTTTGGGGGTAGATTCCTGTGGCTCATCGCTTACATACAACACCCAGTGCTCATCCCAACAAGTGCCCTCCCCCATGCCCATCACCCACTTTCCCCCCTCCCTCAACCCCCATTCCCCCTCAGTTTGTTCTCAGTATTTAAGCGTCTCTTATGGTTTGCCTCTCTCCCTCTCTAGCCAAATTATGGAAAGAGCTTAAATGTCCATCCGCTGACGAATGGATGAAGAAGATGTGGTTTATCTATACCATGGAATACTACCTGGAAATGAGAAAGAATGAAATCCTGCCATTTGCAGCAACGTGGATGGAACTTGAGGGTCTTATGCTGAGTGAAATAAGTCAGGCAGAGAAAGACAGATACCATATGTTTTCACTCATATGTGGATCTTGAGAAATTATCCTCATTTTACAGGTGAAGCTCAGAGAGATTTCCCAGCACCGAACGCAGGTAGGATGTATGGTGCAGGCAGCCCCCCTCCCAGATCCTTTACCAGACACTTCCCCCACCGCCGGGAGTTGGGGGGGGTCTCACTCTCCTTGAACCTGAACTGGCCTTGAGGCTTCCTGACTGACAGCATGCAGCGGAAGTGCTGTTGTGACACTTCCCAGGGCAGACGGAATAGGCCTTGCAACTGCCACCTGGGTCACCAGGAACACTGGCTCTAGGAGAAGCCAAACGCAGGTGAGTCTAGTCGCTGGGCTACCCTGAGCCGCCCCTCCCCCGCCTAGGGGCTGCAAGAAGCCCATGGCAAGTGGAGAGGCCCTGGAGGGTGCCCACCCACATCTGGGATGTTCCAGAAGCCAGCGTGAAGAACTGCCCAGAAGCAGGTCCTCAGCCTCAGCTCCTCCAGCTCTGACCACACGGGTCAGAGACAAAGAGGCCAGATGGATCCTTCCTGAATCCCTGCCCCCACGCATTTATGAGCAGAACAAAATGGTTGCCCTAAACCCTAAGTTTTACCGTTGTTTTCTACTCAGCAGTAGAGAGCCGAAACAGCCTTTGGCATGCATCAGGTGGCCTGGGGAGTCAGAGGTGGTGCGTGCACGTAGAAGGCAGTGCCTGGGCTGGGCGCTCAGTTCCACACTGCGGGGGGGGGGGGGGTGGCGAGGGGGGAGCAGGTAGGCAAGCCCAGCTGGGTGTGAGTTCCTGGGCAGTGTAAGTGCACCCGTGGGCGGGGGCTTCGAAGCACACTCTGGAAGACGTGGACCCTCCACGAGCCCCTGGCTGCTCGGTGCTGATTAGATTTGGTCTGTGAAGTGTTCCCAAGATAAAAGGAGCTGCTGCAGAAGCCCTATCATCAAAGGGTATTTGGGACATCTGAGGGTCTCCAAGTGCCGTGCGCTAAAACAGAGGAAAGTGCGAACTGGGGAGGGAAAGAAGACAGAGCACAAAGGCTGGAACAAAATGAAAGGGGCCATCTGCATTCTGACTCTCAGGTAATAATCCCCATTTTCCGTTCTGGGGGGAGGGGTGCTGACATCTGGGGGCAGCACTGCCGAGGAGAAGCCGTTGGATGATCCTGCCCTGTGTCACCCAGAAGGAAGCCGGAGCTCGGAGTGCTTGTCCATAGTCTCCGGGGCGAGAGTGCTCGATCCCAGGTCAGCTCAAGTCCAGAACCCAGACCCCAGCCCCTGCCTCCCTTACGCTGACTGCTTGAGGTTCCTCCTGACCCTGCTTTTCTCCATTCTCTAGCCCCTTCCCCATCCACCAAGTTCAGCATTTCAAATCATAACACGTTCTTGGAAGTTTCTATGCAATGCAGCCGCGACGCCCAGAGGAACGATGGCCATCCATCATACCACAGTTTTCCTGGATGCCAAGGCCAAAATCGTACCCCTGCACAGATTTCAAAGTGCCGCCAATAACAGGTAACTACGGCTCAGCCTGAGAGCATCTCTGCACTTACTTTTGGCACATGGACGTCATAAAGAAAGGTACTCTGGTAGCACAGTGGAAAAATGCACTTCCCCCTTGTCCGGGCTGGACAGAGTTGAGAATTGCACCTGTTCTGTGCATCACTCTATCTCTCAAAGTGAAGTCAGGGTTCTCTGAACAAACTAACAGCATCATTTTTGCTCCACGTGGGGTCGACACAGACGAATACAGTGGAAAGAGCAAAGGTAAAATAAATAAAATTTTAAAAATAAAAGTAAAAAAAAAGAAACCCTTATAGGGGCGCCTGGGTGGCTTAGTCGGTTGAGCGTCAGACTTTCGCTTAGGTCATGATCTCGCGGTTCGTGGGTTCGAGCCCCGCGTCGGGCTCTGTGCTGACTGCCAGCTCAGAGCCTGGAGCCTGTTTCAGAGTCTGTAACTCCCTCTCTCTCTGACCCTCCCCTGCTCACGCTGTCTCTCTCTCTCTCTCTCTCTAAAAAAACAAACAAAAAACAAAAAACAAAACCCTTATAGTTGGTATTTCTTGGGTATTCACAGCATGCCAAGGATGATGCTAACTGCTTTACAAGCATTATTCTATTATCCTTTTCAGATAGGGAGAAGTCTAGCATGGGTGGCAGATATGAACCAGCAGCTGCTTCTGCCCCCAAGACACTCAAAAACTAGCGAGGGAGACAGGTAAACGGGTCTTGATAACCCGAGTCACAGATGCTCTGATGGGCGGGCATAGAGGACTGAGAGAGCCCAGACACTGGTCAACGTGAGCTGGAGGAAGGTGAATTAGGGAAGGCTTCCTGGAGGAGGTGACCCCAACGTAGGATTGCCACTGGGCCATAACATAAGGTAGGACCCTCATGGCCCACCATGGCAGGTCTGTATCAGGCCTCGTGAATGGAATAAGGGACAAAGTACTAGGGACCAAGCGCCACCAGCTGCCTGTTAAGGAAGGGTCCCGAGAGTCCCCGCGGGGCCCCTTCCTCCCCAGCAGCTCCGGCAGGTGGGCGTGGCTACGGCGCGGCGCCGGCCGAGGCGCGCGGAGGGGGCGTGGCCGCGCCTGCGCGGGCCGCCTATCATGGCGGCCGCCTGAGCCCGGGGATGAGAGGACTCGGCCGGCCTCCGCCCTGGTACCCGAGGCCGGTAAGTTCCTGGGAGAGGCGGCGGGAGGCGTCAAGTGCAGGGAGCCTCCTGGCAGAGAGCCTGGCCTCGACATCGGGCTCCCATGGACCCAAAGCCCAAGTCCCCGCTCGGCCTCAGTGTTCCCTTCCGAGCAAGGGTGTTGGGTGAAGGGGCCCTGTTGTCCTGTGGGTTTCTGCCCCGGGTCCAAGCAGCCCCCTCGGCTCCGGATTAAGAAGGGAGCCCGAGGCCGAACTGACCGCCTTCAGAGAGGGGTTCAGGGAGGCGGCAGGAGAGAAAGAGCCCCGGGGGAGGAGGAGGGCCCTGGGGCCCCTGACTCCCAGCTCTGCGCGCCGTCCCCACACCCCTGGGCGGTGGTCCCTCCAGCTTCCCCGCCTTCACCCCCTGCCCTGCCCTGTCCCGCGCCTGGCCACCAACCGTCAGAGAAAGCAGACTGCTGGGGGTGGGGGCAGGCCTGACTGGGGAACCACCGTAGAAAGGGTGACGGCGTCCGGGTCTGGCCCCCAAAGCCTTCAAGGGCCGGCCAAGGACGCGCTTGTCAGCAGGTGCTGGGATGAACCTGCAGCCCCGAGGACGTCAGATGGGGTCCCATCTGCGGTGCCCGTTCCCTCCTCTCCAGCGAGGAGACGGGGCTGAAGCACATCCGTTTGCAGCTTTCCCAGACAGAGACTCTGAGACCGCCGTTCCCAGTGGAAAAGCTCCTGTTGCCTTTTTCCGTCTTCCCACACACTCGTCAATGATTGTTATTATTGCTATAATGACTGATACTTACTCTTGTTCTTTATGTGACCTGGACCTTAAAACCGATCGTTGTCTCCTGTAATCCTCACGCAGCCCCGAGGCAGGGACAAGACGGGTCTGTTCCCACACACGGGTTCTAGAAGAAGCCCATTAAAGGGATTCCTCTTCCTGGGACCCAGTTGTAGGGCACATTTCCCGGAAGCCTGGGTAGTTTGATTTTTAAAACTGAAAATGCAACACAAAACTAAGAGTATGAGTTTTACCTTTGTCTGTAGTTAAGAAAAGTTGATGTGTAATTGCAATACCGTGGCCCTTTGTGGGATGTCATTTTTCCAACGAAATTGTGCCGTGAAAGGAAACAGCTTCCTCTGGTTCATGTTTGACTTTTCCCAGCATCGTCACAGGGGATCTTTTCTTTTTTTTTCTTCCACAACTATATGTGGAAGTCCCCAGTTTTCCCCCAAGGACATCTTCCAGTGCTGGGAGAGCCTCGTCTACCTTTAAGGCGTTAAGTACTTTTTTGGGATCCAGCCTAACTTTTCCAGCCCTCATTGGCTGAAGGCTTTTGCCTGAGTTTGGAGCATTTCTTCTCCATCACTGTCATTGGCGTCACGAAATCCTACATCATTTTACTAGCTTCACAGCCTCCATTCACGGCCCACTTGCTCTGTGACCCACTGATTTAACAAGGTGTCAGCTTCTTCACAACGAAATGTCTTTGAAACTTTTGTGAAACCCTGGCTTCCCCACGGCAGGTCCTTACATGTCGGAACTCCTGCTACATGTGCTCAGATTTTGACCGTTCCGTGCGTTCAGATTGCGAGGACAGCCTGGGTTATCATCCCATTTTCCCATTGAAGAAATGGAGGCCTGAGAGGTACATGGCATGCCTAGGACACACGGCTGGTGCACACACCTAATCAGGCAAGGAACAGCGCCTGTCAGGGGTTCTGGGCAGGTTTGGGCCGCACGCCTGGAACCATCCCCAGACAAGGAGTTAACAGCTGTGGACCACGGACGATGCTCGGTGCGTTACGCCCCAGTAGCGCTGCACAGTGAGAATGTGGCTGGAGACACAGGTCCGGGGCGGTGACCCAGTCTCCCCCAGGTGTCAGAAGCAGGAGGTGGGAGATGGGGTTCACCCTGCTCCGCCCAGCATCGCAGATAGGGCTCTGCGGGACGGGATGCTGCTTGTGATGCTCTTTGATGAGGAGGACCTTGGGTTTGGGGGCGGGCCTTCCTGTTGGGACCGCTTTGCCTCAGATGAGCTTCTCCGGCTTCACTTGTTGCTGTGTTACCTGCGTGATTTCCGTATCTGCATATCACCTGTACAGTGAGCGCCCCTGGGTTGCTTTTCTTTTGAATCTACTCTCTTTTTAAATTAAAAAAAAAAAAAAGTTTCAAAGCAACAAAGGGCATTGGGCAGCTGGGGTCAACTTCTAGAATAAAAGAGAACTAAAGAGAAAATAAATGCAACATGTAAATTGAATTTGTAAATTGAATACTCTTTTAGGCACAACCAGCTATGAAAGACATTTGCTTGAGAAATGGAGAAAGTTGGCTATGGGCAGAGTTTTAAATGATACAAAGGAATCCGTTACCTTAGATCTGCTAATGGCCTTGTGGTTATGCAAGAACATGTCTTAGGAGACACACACTGTAGAGGAATTCGGGGGTGAAATGTGTAGAATTTACTCTCAGTTCGGGGGGGCAAAAACCCAGATAGGTCATTTGACCCCATATGACAAGGCGCTGATCCTTGGATCTAAGCAGCTGTTTATTATGCTATGTCCTCAGCTTTCTAGTCTATTCGAAAATTTTCACAATAGAAAAAGTTGGAAGAAATTAAAAGGGAAAGATGTCAGTATAAATGGAAATTCAGATCCCTCGCCATAAATTAAAGATGACTATGCAAACACAGTGCAAACAAACAATTCTAGCTGGATTCTTCTTCCTTGCAAAGGCCCTGAGGCTTTCTCCTTTAGGAAAAATCAAGAGAATTGCTAAGGGAAGAACACAAAGCTATTTAAGTGTCTACACCTTTTGGGACCTGCTGTCCTGAGGACCTGATCTTGCCTTCCAGGTGCTCCTGTCCCGTGATTACGGTGGAGCCCGGCCATGGACGAGGTCACCTTTAAAAGTGACACTGTGCTGTCAGACGTCCACCTCTACACCCCGAACCACAGACACCTCATGGTGCGGCTGAACGGCATGGGGCAGCCCGGTAAGGCCCTGGGTGCATGTGGAGGGGCCCAGCACCCCGCAGACCCCATTTTGTTCGCTGCTTTCTCATACTCCTCTCTTTGGGGAAAAGATTGGGGAGATTGGATTGTTCAGCTGTTAACTTCACTCTACTTTTTTTTTTTTAATATTTATTTATTGAGAGAGCGAGAGAGTGTGTGTGAGCTGGGGAGGGGCAGAGAGAGAGAATCCCAAGCAGGCTCACCACTGTCAGCACACAGCCCCACGTGGGGCCAAATCCCACAAACTGTGAGACTGTGACCTGAGCCAAATCAAGTCAGACACTCAACCGACTGAACCACCCAGGTGCCCCAACCTCACTCCACTTCTTTTTTTTTTTTTTTTTTAATGTTTTATTTATTTCTAGGAGAGAGACAGCGCGAGCAGGGGAGGGTCAGAGAGAGAGGGAGACACAGAATCTGAAACAGGCTCCAGGCTCTGAGCTGGCAGTCAGCACAGAGCCCGACACAGGGCTCGAACCCACGCACTGCGAGATCATGACCCAAGCGAAAGTTGGACGCTCAACCGACTAAGCCACCCAGACGCCCCTCACTCCACTTCTTAAGCGCCCTGGCTTCAGAGAGTAAACTGTGCTTTCCTGAGCACCTACTTTCTGGAGGGGGAAGGACACCAGGACTTAATGCTGGGAACGCAGAGGGGATGAGCCAAGCCTTGCCCTCAGGGAGGCTGTGGTCCAGCAGGGAGAACCGGAGGGCTCCCAGCACCCCCTCAGTCCGGCCCCCTGCATCGGCCCCCTGTATCACTTATTTGCCTGCAGCCCCTCCCACCCGGGCTCCCTGGCTGTGCTCTGCACGCCTTCCGCTACTCATCTCCCCCGAAGCCAAGAGGATCTTCTGCAAATGCATATCCTATCAGTGCCCTGGTGTAGACGCTCCAGGGACTCCCCTTTGCTCTTAAAATAAAATCGACTCTTTACCCTGGCCTGTGAGGCCCAGCCTGACGCAGCCCTGCCTGCGGGGCCACACTGATCTTTCTCTGCTCCTTCCCTGTCCCTTCTATGCTGCACGCACTTCCTCCCTCAGCGCCTTTGCTCTCGCTGGTTCTCTACGCAGAAGGTTCTCCCCTCCCAGCCCTGACTCTGCGATTCACCTCACACAGGTGCTCCCTGGCCACCCTCCCCGGCTCTGATCGCCCTGTGTTAGCCTGTCCTGGTATGAAATGCTCCCCTTTCCTTGTGTCCTGTGTGGATCCTGAACCCAGGAGCCTGGGCCTCAGCACAGATCCGGGACTGGCCTGGGGCCGGATGGCCTGGGGAGGTGGATGACTTGCACCCCCGCCTCCAGCCTGCCTCTCTGGAACCCGTGCTCTTACTGAAACTTGTCCCAGAGACTTTCTGGCCACCAGATAGGGAGGGCCATTTGGTGTCCTTGTCCTGTCCTCCAGATCTTTTTTTTTTTTTTTAATTTTTTAAAAATGTTTATTTTTGAAAGAGAGACAGAGCATGAGGAGGGTAGGGACAGAGAGAGAGGGAGACACAGAACCCGAAACAGGCTCCAGGCTCCAAGCTGTCAGCACTGAGCCCGACACAGGGGCTGGAACTCACAAGCCATGAGATCATGACCTGAGCTGAAGTCGGACGTCCAACCCACAGAGCCACCCAGGCGCCCCCTGTCCTCCGGATCTTACGAGGTGGAACAATGTCGTGCGAAGGGCATCACTTTAGGAGTTGAGCAGACTGGGTTTGGGTCTTGCCTCAGCCACGTCCAAAGCTGTGTGGCCTTGTCAGCCCACTTAGTCTCTCTAAGCCTCAGTTTCCACATTTGAAAAGTGGAGCTGGTGCCACTATCTTCATAGCAACAAGGAGGGCTGGGATAATGGGCCGAGTGCCTTCCCTGGGGACGCGCGTCAGACGGTAGCTGCTCTCAGTGGCCCCAGCCTCTCGGCCAAGGCCAACAGGCCTTTTCTGTGGGCGTTAGGATGCCTCTTCCTGGCATCAGGAAGGGTGGAAATCAGATTTTCTGGAAGGAGAAGACAGCTTGGAGATAGTCCCCTTGTGTGTTCATCTTGCCTTTCAGTTTTCCTGTCCCAGTTCAAGCTTCTGTGGACCCGAGACGCTCAGACAGACTCAGGGGCCGCGGGTGGTGGTCACAGCGCTGTTCCCGCAGAGGAGATGCCTACCCCCGGGCCGGGCAGCGCCGGGTGCCCTCGGGGCAGTGGCTGTGGTGCTGACGGTGCTGACACCACCAGCCGGGCGGGGCCGGGAGCGCAGCTGGACGAAGACGGGGACTTGGACGTGGAGAGGAGACCACGGGCTGTTTCGGACCCCGAGCCAGCAGGGCCCCCGAGAGACAAGGTGCATCCCATGATTCTAACGCAGGAGGAAGAGGACACACTGGCAGACGGAGCCGGTGAGGGCCGCCCCCAGGATATCATCAGAATCGGTAAGTGCAGGCCCTGCGGGCGGCACCGCGGCATTATCACAGCCCAGGCCGTGTGCACAGGCCCAGGCCCCGTGTCCTGGGACCAGCCAAGGTTCCGGAGCCAGCTCTGCTGGGACAGAGCAGGGGGGAGCCACCGCCAGCAGGGGGAGCTGTCTGGGACACGCAGGCCCCTCCTGCTCCAGACTCCTCAGCGGCTCCCCACTGCCCTTGGGATACAGGCCAGGCCGCAGGGCTCAGCTCACACGGCCCTGCCTGACGTGGCCGTGTCACCGCACACCCTCAGTGTGCTGTCTCCCTGTGGCCTCTGCTCTGCTCCACCCCCTTGGAGAGCCTGCCCCCAGCCTCTTCTTTCTCAACATGTTGCTGGTTGTTGTATCAGCTTAGCCATCGCCTCCTCCAGGGAGCCCTCATTTTACTCCTCTTCCATCGATGTTCTGATCCAACTCTGTGTGCTGGGGCCATGGGTCAGGGTGGAGTTTGTGGAAGACTTGGCCAGCAACAGGGAGCCACGGGAGATTCTGGAGCCAGAGTGTGGCTGGGGGAGAGGAAGGTGGACCAGAACCAGTCTGGAGGAGGCCTGTGGGCTAATCAGACGGCCTGGGAGCTAGAAGCCAGCTGGGAAGGGGGAGGCAGTGACGTGGCCGGAGGAGGGCAGGAACGAGTTCTGGCGGGCATGCAGGGGCAGCACCACGTGCCCACCACCGGGCACCAGGGCCCGGTGACACCAGGATTTCAGATCTTGGAAGCAGGCACAGTAGAAACGCCAGGAGCGGTAGGGAGCTGGGGCAGGAAGTGAGCCGCTGATGTTAAACACCTGTCACGTTTAGACATTTTACCTGCGTCTCGGCGGCCCTCCTCTGGGCTCGGGGGAGCATACAGATGAGGAGGTGACGAGCCCGAGGCCGTGCAACTGGGTGGCCGTGAGGGAGGTTCTGAATCCAGGTCATCCGTCTCCACAGCCAGGCCTCTTCCCACCCCGACACTGCTCGTTTTGGGGGAAAAGAGCTCTGAATTGAGTCTATCCATTGAGATGCAGGGTCCCTAATGGTATGTGAGGTCCCAGGACAGCTGGGCGCCCTCTCAGAAGCAGCAGCAGCTCTTCTCCGTCTGCCCAGCCACACAGCAGATAGTTACGGAGTGTCTGCTTGGTACCAGGCCGACTGTTCTAGACTCTTCCATTGGGGGTGATGTGGAATCCACACCAGACCTCTACTCCATGTTCTCCATGGATTACTTCTATTCCTCACAGCCTTTCCAAGTGTGAGCATTCCCATTTTACAGATGTGGGATCGAGGCTCAGAGAGGTTGAGGAACTTGCCCAGGTCACACAGCCAGTCAGTGGCAGAGTGATGATTCACACTCAGGTCTGTCCAGCACCACAGCCTATGTTCTTACTCAGTGTCACATGATGAGAACATTAGAAAGTTCTGTTCTGGGGAGCTCTGGGGGTGGGGGGGGCACACGATGATGGCTCATTTCGTTCTCATCCATCACCTAATTGGCCTCCCTGAGCAGAGAGTGGCTGACACGGTTATTCATACCAAGGATTTGGCTGTGGTGTGTGTGTTTAATGTCCTGAGGATTTACCATCTTGCAAACTGAGAACAGAATCCCGCAGCTAAGGGCCAGCGTGTTGCCGGTGGCCGGCCAGTGTCCTGCACCTCATGGTGGGGGCCCTTCCTTCCAGCAAGCGCCCCGAGGGAGGGGAGTGCAAGGCGATTCAGTGAGCTCCAGCAGTGATCTCTTGTTCCAGTGTGTGACCTCAGGGACCAGGCTTCAGACTCTGACACCTGGCAGAGCTGGGCTTTGACCCTCCACCCTCACCAGCCTGGTGATCCCTGACAGGTGTCTGCCCACCCAGAGCCTGTTTTCACACCTATGCCATGGGGTCCCGGGGAACTGCACTTTGATGAAAACTCATCAGTCATGCCCAGTGAGTGGGTGCTTGGGCGGACGCCAAGCTGAGGTCTGTCTCCTGACCACCCTTCTCCTCCGGGCTGTGAACCAAGTCGTTGTTTTCAGGGGATGGACCCATCTGAGAAGCCGATTAAAAAATACCCCAACAGAAGCAGAATCGTTTCCAGGTCATTTCAGGGGACTGTCAGAAACCTAAAAACCTTTATCCATGGACCTGCTAGGAATCCACAGACCCAAGGTTCAAAGTAAATTATGATCGTTTTCTCTGCTTTATAGATAAACTGAGACCCGAAGAGAAGAGGAGGGGGCAGGGCTGGGACTGGGCTGTCAGCTTCCGAGGCCCAGCGAATTGGGCAAGTCCCTTAACCTCTCGTTTCCTCGTCTGTAAAATGGGTGTGACTACTTCTGATTGTGAAGGACGAAGGGATGACTCACGAAGAGCTCTCAGCACAGTGCCGGCATGCAGTGTAGCCGTTCCATCAGTGTGGCCGCAGTGCCGGCACGCGGTGGAGCTGTCAGGCAGTGTGGCCGCGGTGGCGGCACGCGGTGTAGCCCTCAGGCAGCGCGGGCTGCGCTAGCGCCGTCCCTGGGCCCTGGGTGTGGGAGGGAGGCTGGCTGAGGGGGGTTCCTGCAGGTCTAGAGGCACAGACCGGACTCTGAAACTTGGTCTCCCTTTGTCTGCTAAGCCTGGTTTCTCTGGTGTAGTCCTCAGGCAGGAGGGGACCCACGAGGAGAGACCGGGGGATGCTGCAGGGTGGGGCTGCGGGTACTGGGGTATGTGGGCCAGGGGCAGCCGCTACCGAGGTCTGGAGCAGGACCACACAGGCGGGACCAGGGAAGCCTCTTCGCTGCCCAGCCTCGGCTACAGCCTCCAGCCTGCCAGAGGGGTCCCCTGCCCCGCACTCCTCACCCCACGTCCTGGGCCCCTTCTGGGTCCCGCCACATGCCTCACCTCTGTCAGCTCGCTTTCTCCCCTGTAAGGGAGCCCCCAAGCCTGTGCCACTGGTGGTTTTGAGGGTTAAATCGGAGGTTGCTCTCGGAGCATTTGGCCCAGGGCCTGGCCCCGGAGAAAAGGTGTTTTCCCATAGCTTTTACAGCCACGATGCTGTGCCTTGGCCTCAGTGTGCACATCTGTAAGTTGGGGCGATGATGGCTACTTTGCAGGGCTGCTGTCAGGATCAGGTACAGCCTCAGTGGCCCCTGGCTGGCTCGGGGGTATCTGTCCAGGAAGCGTTCAGTGAAGGGACCCTGCTGGTGGGCGAGTGTGTGTTGGGCTCCTGCGGCCTGAAGTCCTGAAGCGAGCGTGCCATTGCCAGAGGCGGCCTCTTCTAGACCACTGGGACCCAGTCCAGCCGAGGTGCTGTGGCATAGTGCGTCAGTCACCCATTCAGGGATCAGATCGGAAGTCCACGTGTAGGTCATGGGTCAGATCCACCCGGGGAAGCCCGCAGAGTGGCGGCCAGCTTCCCAGGAGGTGTGCATACAGCCGGTCTCTCCCCTGGCAGGGGATAGGTGGCTGCTGCTTCCGTTCAGCACCAGAGAGGTGGCCTCTGTTCTGGAACCCACTAGCAGGGGCGGTGCTCGCCTTTCACGGGACTCGCTGAGACGCCGGCACTCTGAGAGCTCGGGGCCCCTCACCTCCTCAGGCAGACCCCCACCAACCCACCCCCACCTCAGACCCTGCTCCTGTGGTGAACCTGTGGTCTGATCTGTGCGAGGCTGGCGGGCACGCGGAGCTGTGCCCTGTGTGCCTGCCGCCCTGTGTGTGGACCCCAGGGTACGCGTGCCCCCCATGTGCGGGCCCATGGTACACATGCCCCAAGGTACACATACCCCCCTGAGTGTGTGCCTCGTGGTGTGCATGCCTCCCATGTGTGTGCCATGCGCATTTCCGTCTGGTGATCATCACCATCTTGTCCAGAGATATGGTAGCCAGCTCTGATTTAAAATTTTTTTTGTAATAATTCATTTATTTCTGAGAGAGAGAGAGAGAGAGAGAGACAAGCATGAGCAGGGGAGGGTCAGAGAGAGAGGGAGACACAGAATCCGAAACAGGCTTCAGGCTCTGAGCTGTCAGCACAGAGCCCGACGCGGGGATCAAACCCACGAACCATGAGATCATGACCTGAGCCGAAGTCGGACGCTTAACCGACTGAGCCACCCAGGTGTCCCAGCCAGCTCTGATTTAACAGCAAAGATATTTGCCATTTTCCTTTTGCCCTTTGGTGTCATATTTCTGTTCTCTCCCTGGCCCCTGTACCGCCACTGATTGTACCGGAATGTATTTCATGCTTGAGACTTCTTATCATAGTTTACCTGAGAAAGGATATAAGCTCTGAATGACAGTGTTGACTTCTGGTGTGGTTGTAAGTGTAAGAAAATACTTGGGAGTGCACTATGACTGTCACCAGCATACAGGTGACCAGAACAACAGAAGGACATTGTGACGTGAGGTGCAGTTATGGAACGTTATGGACTGGGGTGTTTGACCAGGTGGGATCAGGCTCCACGGTGATGCTAGCTTCGGGCTATGGGGCAGAGACACCGGTTCTCTGAGCAGCCTCACGCCCCCTCCCGACCCGACCCCCGTGGCCTGTGTTTCTGCCACTCTCTAGAAAGCCTGGCTCTGGCGCCCATCCTGCTGTGTGGGCAGATGCCATGCACCCCGTCTGTCCGTGTTCTGTCCGTCTCCATTTTCACAGTGGCCCTTTCTCTTTTGGTCTCCATCCTGTCCAGAGCACACCATGGCCACCCCCCTGGAAGATGTCGGCAAGCAGGTGGGTAGGTCCCGCCCACTCCCTGGGGCCCTGTGGGGTCTGCCCGGAGCCTCCGTCGCCCAGCATCCCCGGTCCATGTCTCCTCCAGGTGTGGCGGGGCGCCCTGCTCCTGGCCGACTACATTCTGTTCCAACGGGACCTCTTCCAGGGAAGCACCGTGCTGGAGCTCGGGGCGGGCACGGGGCTGGCCAGCATCGTCGCAGCCACAGTGGCGCGGACGGTCTATTGTACAGGTAAATACAATTTACTATTATGCTGCAAAGCCCAGATCATTCAACACAGTGCACTTTACGGAGCGCCTGCCAGTGATCTGTCCACCAGGGTCCTGGCTGCGGGAGAACCAGGAGCGGACAGAACAGGTCAAGTCGCTGTCTGCAGGGGGCTTTGCGATCATTAGTTGACCTGTTTGTGTGTGTTTTTTTCCAGTCCTTTCACTTGGGGTGTTTTGAGCACACCTAATCCCAGACAGTAGCTGAGACCAGACTGTTCTGTGCTGTGTGTTGCCAAAAATGTCAAAAAATTTTTTCAAGGGCATTTTCCAAAGTCATTAGAAATTATTTATGAGTTTTATTGACCAGGTAATATTTCCTCTTTTTTTTTTTTTAACCATTTTCCTAGTTCTGGGCATTTTGGTTGTTGCCATGGGTTTAGGTGTTTTGTGTTTGTTTCACAACTGTCCCTTGCACCGCGGCGAGTGTCCAGTAGTCCCCCGGCAGCACTCCCAGAAGCATGTGTGACCCTTTTTAAGCTTTTGCTTCATATTGCCGAGAGGTTTCTCTCTCTGTTTCTTCTTTTGAAATGATATTAGATGGGCGTGGAAACTGCTAACATAGGACAGCAAGAGCCATGTAGCCCTCCCCCCGCTCCCCGCAGGGATGAGTCTTACGTGACCGTAGTTCAGCGGTGAAGCCGGAAGCCTGATACGGGGGCAGTGCTCTCGGCCCCCCACTGGCCTGCACGCCTGGGCACAGGGGACCCCGCAGTTCACGAGGGGAGTGGCTCCTCAGCTTGCGACGCTGCGCCTTAGATCTTTAGTGGCTCCTAGGCGGGAAGGCGCACCTGCTCCCGTGGTCTGCATTGCGTTGATGCCTCGTCTGCATGCTCGCGGCACTCATCTTTTGCATCTGAGACCGGAAAGGGAAGCCGGGGGTGGCCTGGGGTGCAGGCACGCTTGGCAGGCACCGTGCGCTGGCCGCTGGCCGGGAGTCTGCAGGGCAGCCCCCCTCTGCTCCATCGCTGGGGCGGTCGCGTCAGCTGCCAGTGAGCACTTCCCGGAGTCAGGCCGAAATGCACCTGTGCCTGGGGCCCAACGGCAGGACGTGACCTAGCTGTCATGCCCGAGAGGGGGTTTCCAGGCACCAAGAAGACAGCTTGTGTCTAGACCTCAGCCTCTCACGTGCTTCAGCACCTGCTCGTAACTTCACAGCGAGCCTGGGCTTTCGCCAGGGAGCCAGCCACCATCCCTCGTCCAGGTGGGCCGACCAGGCTAAGGTCGGGTGGCTGGCCCTGGGTCATGCACACAGCGACCGTCATGTGGGGAGGGGGAGGGTGCCAGTTGCTCATGCTTTTCTCTGTGCAGCAGACTTCTGAGGGCTCCCTCAGCGGCCGGCAAAGGGATAACTAGGGGGCAGCCCCAGGGCTCTGGACTCCCACCGCCCCCCCTTGGCCAAAGCACTCTCCTCACTCCCTTTTTAGATTAGAATCCCACATGAGATCTGTTTGGACAGGGACTGCCGACTGCCGTGAGGACGTAGGAGCTGCCCCTGGCCGTGTGCTGTCAGCCACATACCATCAGTGTCCTCTTGAGCCAGTGGCCTAGGGAAGGGGTGGGTGGGCCCCTGTGGTGAGTGGGGAGCCCCCCACGGCCGGGCTGGGCGCGCTCCCCGAGTCTGCCGTGGGGGATAGGCCAGTCTGGGGGTCCACGGCCATAGTAAGCCAGGCACACGTCAGCACACAGCCTTCTGTACCTTCCACACATACGTTGTCCTGACTGAATATGAAGTTTTGGTAAAATGCCCACACCCCATGCCCCATCAGGGATGCACGGCTGTGACAAGGTTCTGCTGAAATGGTGAGAGACGCCACCTCGTCAGAGAAAGGGAGGGAGGCTCAGGACACACGGATGGCCGAGGCGGCGAGTCATGCACTGAAGAGCGTGCCTCCAGCTTGTCGAACCTGCCCTGTCTCGATTCTTCACATCCGCACATCCACACCTGTCACACACGCCAGCCGCACCAGGAGCCCCCCCTCCCTGTGTAGTGTGCGCAGAGTCGTCCCCACCAGCACTGCCGTCTCTTAGATGAGGGAAGGGCCATCAGGAAGAGCCTGAGGGGCGCGCGCTGAGTTGTGTGTGCACCCAGGACATGTGCTGCCCTTCACCCGGGGCCTGTCTGCAGTCACACCGTCGGCCCAGCCCTCTCCAGGCAGACTCCTGGCACAACAGCGTGGTCACAGCTCGGGCTTTACGGCGTGCCCTTCTGTCGTTCCAGATGTCGGTGCAGACCTCCTGGCCATGTGCCAGCGAAATATTGCCCTCAACGGCCACCTGACTGCCGCTGGAGGTGAGGCCCAGTGGGTCTACCTGAGGGGGCGGGGTTCCCGGGCAGGTGGGACGGGCACCCTGCACCGTGACACTGGGAGATGGGGTCTGCCCGCCACCCTCTGGGCACAGCCCTGGCTTCCTGGAACTTCACCTCTGCGGACCCTGTCCTCTCTCCCTCTCCTCCTCCCCACGCCCCCTGCCATGTCCCGTGTCAGCTCGCCCCCTCCTGGATGCCACAGTGGCCCCCACCTGGTCTCCCGGCTCTTTGTCTGACCTGCCCAAGGTGTCATCCGTGAAGCCTCTGGAGTGAAGATGGAAGCCTGACCCCTTTAGTCCCCACTGGAAATCTTCCAGGGTGAAGACCGAGCTCGCCCTCTGACCCCTGCCTGCCCCTCCTCCCTTTTCCAGCCATGGTGTGGCGAGCCAGGCACCCCGGTCACGAGCCCTGCCCTCTGCCTGCCCGTCACTACCGCCTGATTGTTGGATTGCTGTGCCACCCGCAGAATCCGCTCACGTGTCAGATTCTGCCCAGCTCATGCCGGCAGCTGCCCCTCCCTCACTGTTGCACCCAGACCCTTCCTGAGCAGCCGGGGCGCTTTCCCACTCAGATCAGGTCACTCCAGCCCCCAGGCCTCAGGCCCTCCAGCCGTCTGCCCTGCTGTCTGAGTGGACCCCGAACTCCTACACTTGTCCCACGTCCCGCTGGGGTCTGGCCCCACCACCCGCGGCCCCTGACTCACAGGTCTCCCTCTGTTCTGGTCACCGTGGCCTATCTGAGGGTCTCCTCCAGGCCTTCGAGCTGCTCTTCCTAATGCTCAGAGCTCCAGACGAGGTCACAGCTCCCTAGCAGAGCCTCCTTTTCAGCTTGAACCACCGCATTTTGATGAGTCTGTGCCTGGTTGATCTGCTTCTGACACCCCACTGGGCCACAGGGCCTATGTGATCTCCCCCCCCCATATTTGTTGAATGCCTAAGGGAAGAAAGGGGAGGAGTAGGCGTGCCTCACCTTCTCTTTGGAGCCTTATCTGCACCCCCGTCTGACATCTGAGCTGCTCTCTCCCCCTGTGCCCAGCAGGTCCTGGTCCTCAGCTCAGTGCCCTGACCACACCGCCTTGTCGGCTACCAGCCAGTCTCTCCTGGGCTGCTGGTCCCCGAGGACAGGGACATGTCTCCTAAGCCTTGGTATTCCCTGTGTCCCTTGCAGGACCTGATGCCTAGCACCATGTGCTGGGGGGATGGGGAGATGTCGGTGTAGAAGGGAGGGTTGTCTTCTTTCCCACTTGTTATTACAGTGTGGACTTTCTGCCTGCTTCCACTCCTGCAGGTGGTGTAATTAAGGTCAAAGAACTGGACTGGCTCCAGGACGACCTGTGCACAGGTGTGTGCCTCCCCGCCCCGGTGGCCTCACAGCCCCTCAGCCCGCAGCCACTTCTGTCCATCAGCTGATGGGTGTCAGCTGCTGGCATCTTCCACCTGTGCTGTCACTCAGACTCCGGGGTCCCCGTATAGTAGGCAAGGTGGCCCCTGAGCTACAGGTGAGGCCTGATGCTCGGGGCCAAACACCTGCCCAGGGCTGGGAAGCCGCCTGCACACGGCGCTCTGTCCTGCCCAGAGGACCACCCCCGGATGGGCGAGTTTTCTGAATTGATCATCCAGGCTGTGTCAGCCCTGCATGCTTGTGTGAACAGCTCCCTTCTCGGGTGTCAGGTGGGAGGTCATTGCTTGTCAAGGTCTGTCACCTGCTGAGCACTCAGCGCTGTAGCCCCCAGCCAGCCTTGAAGGCAGCGTCCGGTAGCGCCCGCTCTTATGTGAAACTGACCCAGAGAGGGGAGGCAGCTTCCTCAGGGCCACACAGGAGTTCACGGGGCAGCAGTGCCTCCCCTGGATGGGGAGGCAGACCACACGGCCCGTGCCGGCGTTTGGCCCTGCCTGGTGGTGCAGAGTGGCCTGTCCTCTTCCACAGACCCAGAGGTCCCCTTCAGCTGGTCGCAGGAGGATATCTCCGACCTGTACAGCCACACCACCATCCTGCTTGCGGCCGAAGGTGAGGCGCCCTCCCCACTGTGGAGCCCTCCTGGCTTCCCGGGTACCCGCCACACCGCCTGTGTTTCCAGCCTGAGCAATGTCGCCGTGGCACATTCATAGGGGTTCCGTCTGGTGCCGGGGGTCCTCCAGGGGCAGGTCTCCCGTTGGTGGCGGGTTTTCCCCTCACGCCTGGTCCCCCCCTCCCCCGCAGTGTTTTATGACGACGACCTAACCGATGCACTGTTTACAACCCTCTCCCGCCTCGCTCACAAGCTCAAGAATGCCTGCACGGCCATTCTGTCCGTGGAGAAGAGGTGAGCCCCGCGCCGTCCTGACGCTCACGTATGGAGCGCCTGCCGTGTGCCAGCCAGTGCTGCCCTTCCCACACGTGACCTCGCACCACCCACCCACCGGCCCTGTGCGTACGTGCCGCCCGCCTTGCAGGTGGCGGGGATGGCGGAGGGGAGGCGGGGAGCCAGTCCGGCTGGTCTGTGAGTGGACGCACACTTGAACACAGCCGTTCCACGGACGCGTGGCCACTGCGCTGTCGAGGGCCTTTCTGAACATCCCCACTGGGCCGCTGTCTCTCCTCAGCACCCCAGGCCTCTGTCTGTCTGTCCTCTCCTGATGTAAACAGAGCCCCTCCATCCTGAAGCACTGGGCTCCCGCTCAGGGAGTGTCCATTCCGTGGTAGAAGCAGGCGCCTCACACAGTTTTCTCCCATCATATGGTAGACCACGACTTGTCTTTTTTTTTAAATGTTTGGTTTTTTTTGAGAGAGTGCTAGCAGGGGAGGGGCAGAAAGAGAGGGACAGAGGTTTGGAAGCAGGATCTGTGGTGACAGCCGCAAGCCCACCCTGAGGCTCGAACTCAGGAACCGTGAGATCATGACTGAGCCAAAGTTAGACGCTCAGCTGAGCCACCCAGATACCCCCAGGCCACAGCCTTTTGGAAGGCAAGTCACAATATGTAGCAAAAGCCAAAAACCTGGGCTCCCGGCTGGCTCAGTCAGTAGTCTGCCACTCTTGATCTCAGGGTTGTGAGTTCACACTCCATGGTGGGTGTAGGGATTGCTTACAAATAAAATCTTTAAAAAAAAAAAAAAAAAGAAAAAAAAAAAAGGCCATAAAACCACTTAGTGAGCCAGCAGTGCCGCATCGAGGAATCCGCCCTGTGGAAGCAATCACGGCTGTGTCCACACCGTCTATCTGGGCGTGCCTGTCGCAGTGGCATTTGTACCAATCATGTCGAGGAACCCCTTTGAGGCACGCGTGGCAGCTGCCGGTGTGTGCATCTCACTTGGGTACTGGTTTTATTGACCACCAAGGGAGAGCTCGAGACCCTTAGGAAAAGGTGAACCTGACTGAATGTTGGAATGGTCAACAGTTACAATGAAATCTGTTCCAGGTGAAACAAAGACAGAGGAGGCTCTATGTTTCTGAGGTGCAGGCGGCCCTGTCCCCGGCAGAAATGCCCGGCGGCTGACGTTAGCTTTTTAAGGATGCCACTGGCTGTGCGGGGCGGCCGAGGCCTCGCCGTTGTGAGCTGGTGGTGGCGGAGTTTGGGCACTCAGCTCTCTGTTGGAAATTCTTCGTAGTGAAAGTCTTGGGAGGAAAAGGGAAAGAGGCAAAGAAGTTGTTTCGGGTTGGGGTGTAGGAACGGCCCAGCGGCCGGGCTGTAAGGGCCCTGGAAGGAGCTGTTTGGGGTCACCCTTCTGACGGTTCCAGGCCCCCCACCTCCCATCAGCCTTCCGAGGACACTGCTCGGAGGCCCCTGCCCTTCATCTCCTTGTCACATAGACAGTCACAGGCGCCCGTGATGAGAGGTGTGCGACAGGCGATGTTCTTTGTCCACCTCCCGCACCACTTCGTGGCCCTGGACAGGGCCCGTCTTTCTTTCGGGCGGTGGTGACTCAGGCACCCGACTCAACTTCCCTGAGCCTCAGTTTCCACATCTGTGAAGCGTCCACCTCCCAGGCCCTCCTGCAGATTTGGGAAGGAAGGGAGCACAGCCCTCCGCACTCAGGGAGCACCCACCAGTGGGCATGTGGCTGGGGAGGCGGCGGGAAGGCGAGCGAGGCCTGTGTGTCGGCTGCGTGTCTACAGGCTGAACTTCACGCTCAGACACCTGGAAGTCACGTGCGAGGCGTACGAGCACTTCCGCTCCTGGCTGCAGCGGCTGGAGAGGCGTGAGGCCGGCCGGCTGCGCTTCACGGTGGAGCCGGTGGAGGCGTCCTTCCCGCAGCTCCTGGCCTACGAGCGCACCCGGCAGCTGGTAGGTGCGGGCCTTGCTGCCCTGCGCGCCCCCGCCCACCCGGGCCCTCCGCACGGGCGCTGCACGCTGGTGCTGCCGGGGCAGAGGGGCGCTCACAGCCAGGGACGGTGCTGGGGTCTCCCTGTCCTGAGGGCCCACCGGGTCTGCAGGTGGGCCTGCAGGTCGCCTGTCACCCTGGACTTCCGAGGACGTCCTGTCCCTGCGGGCACTTCAGACTCCGGAGGAAGCGGGGCCGAGCGCAGGCGGCGGTGGTTGGGGTCGCAGGGAGTCAGTCGGGCACTTGGCCGAGTTTTCGATGCAGGAGCCCCAGGGCTGGAGGCCACACCTTTGCCGTGGAAATGTGCCGGCCTCCCAGACAGGGCGGGTTTGTTTGATGACCAGTGCCCTTCCAACCAGGCCCACTCGGCCCATCAGACCGGGCCTGGGTAACCCTCCTGGTAAGGGTACACAGCCAGGTACTGGCCCAGCTCCCCCCTCCCCTGCCTCAGTTGCTGCCCAGACCAGGTAAGTCACCCCACCAGGCAGCAGGGAGCTGGGCCTAATCACTTCCTGTTACAGTTTAAACCCGCCTGGTGGGGGAATCCTGAGAAGTTAAAAGTACCCTTGAAAGTCACTCAGAGCTACCGGGTGCTCCAGGTCAAGGTCTGGGATTGATGTCTTTGTTCTCCTTGCCTGTGGCCTGGGAGCCCTCCCCCTGGGTGTGTGGAGAGCAGGCCCAGTTCTGAGGAGCAGAGGGCAGGACGCGGGCTCACAGGGAGCCCTGAACTCGCGTGGGTGCCGTGGAGAGGAGCGACCTTGTGTGCATGGCTCCGCCGCCTCCCCACGGACGGCAAACGGCCTGCCTCTGCCCGTGAGGACGGGAGGTTTCCGCCGGGACTGGGTGTGTGTGCAGCCTCTCCACCTGCGCGTGTCAGGAGGCGTGCACGCGGGCGGGAAAGTCAGCAGTCACCGGGGGCGGCACTCAAGGTGCCCCCAGATGGAAAAGCCGTGGCTCGTGCCATTCCTCGGGCCCATCTCGATTGTGTGACGTCCGATGCATCTTGGGTTAATGCCAGGGCTTGTCCGGCCTCCGTGGTGCGGCAGGAGGAGCCGCCAGGGCAACAGAGAGTCGGGAGGCAGTGCCCGCGCGTGTGGTAGCTGGCGGCTGCCTGCGCGCCTCGCGGTGGGCCGCCTCCTCTCTACCCGGGGGTCTCTGCGCGCCTCGGGAGCCCCGCTCTCTGTTTGCCGCAGGAGCTCTGGAGGATCTGTGTGGAACCCGTGACGTGACCCATCGCACCCCCGGCACGGCTCTCGACTGTTCTCAGAATACATTTCTAATAAAATCAAAAGCTCGCAAAGTGACATGCTTGAGATTTGATCATTTTAAAGATGTGGCCCGTGCACTTGACAAGCCCCAGGACTGTGTTCTGGGGGCCGTTGCCCCCCAGCAGCCGGGGAGCATTCTTGCTCCAGGGGCTGGAAGTGCGATTTGTCCTGTGTTTCTTACGCTGCTGGCTTGTCGTCCATCCATGCTCTGGGCTGTCTCGGGGGCTTGGGCAGACGCTCTCCACTCGATTCCACGTGACTGGATTACTTACCTGGCAGCCCCTGGGGGCAGGGGGCCCCGGGCCAGGCCAGGGCATTCAGTGCCCCCGTTACCTGCTTTCAGATGTGTTTCATGTGCTCGCCACGGCTGCGGCAGTGACACCTCAGAATGAGATGCAGCAGCCTCATTTCCTTCAAGGCTGCCTTGCTCAGTCCCTGTTCCTCCAGGGAGGCCCCTTCAGAGGAGGCCAAGGGGCTGGCCGGGTGCCCTTAGTTTCTGTTTTCACTCTTTAGAACCTAAATCGTGTGAGCTTAGAACAGAAGGAGCCGCTCTTCCCCACCTGTGTGGCCGCCCCAGCATCTGTGCCTCGGTCAGCGTCACGGCCTCCCCTCCCGGAGCCCAGTTCCCCTCCTCCCCGGGGGCTCCCTGCTCGCCCGCATCATAGGAGCAAATCTCTGTCTGCTGTCTTATGTCCCGTGGCCTCCTGTCTCCACCCCTGCCTGTTGCTTTACGCCCTTTCCCACCATCCCCCCCTCCTCCTCCTGCTGCCTGGGCCCCAGGCCAGCATGTCCCCATCCCTGTCCCGCACCCACAGCCCAGAGAGCCTCCTGGCATCTCTCTGCCTCTCCAGCTCTGTTCAGACACCGGATTAACTCACCACATTTCCCGACAGCCAGGACTTAGTAGCCTGGTTACACCCATCGAACAGGTGAGAAGACTACAGCTCTAAATGGACGTCTCCACGGGCCAGGGCCCTGTCTGTCTGAAATATCCACATGCTCCTGGCACACAGTCTGGCCCAAAGTAGGTAGTCAACGCAAACCGTCAAATGAGCAACGACAGGAACAGGAACTGTGCTGGGGAGGGGGTTCCCAGGTGCAAAGGTTTTGGTGGTCACAGCTCCGGGAAGTGGGTGCTACCCGCCAGGGATGCCACTAACTGTCCTGTAATGTGCAGGACGGCCCCCAGGGGGGCAGCAGTGAGCCATCTGGGTCAGGGAGAATGCGGTAAACAAGTCTCCCCCTCCCCTCTGGGAGTGGGAAGGAGGCCCACACACATCATCTCTAAGTCTTACAAAGACCCCAGGGGGCAGAAGCAATCCGCACTTGACATACAAGAAATCTGAAGTTCAGAGCAGTTAAGCCACCTTCCCAACATCACACAGCTGCCAAGCGGCAGAGTTGGGCTTGTAGCCCACGCTCCCCGCACTTTCCCACGGCAGCTCTCCCGGACCACCAGCAGCGGCAGCCCCAGCCCAGGCCCGACGCGGAAACTGCTCCTTGACAAGACCCCAGTGATTTGTGCGCGGTGAGCAGTTCCAGAAGCATAGCTGTTGAGCCCTTCCCATTTCCTGAGGTTCACAAAGCCCTGGCAGATAGACCTGCCGTAATTGAACGGAGCTGCGGATCACCACAGGATGTATGAATAATGAGTCCTCAAAACAGAGCCCCAAGAGACTGAGCCCCCAGCTGGCCCCGTGTCAGCACTATCTGACATTTCCCGGCACTCCTGGGGACAAGCTCGTAGATGTAATTGGCACCGAGCAGTAGAGTCGTCGTTCCTTTCACCTGGCGCGTCAGGGAGGACGCTTTCATGTCTCAAGCACTGGCCTGAATGCTTCCTCTGAGGGGGGCCTGGAGTTAATCTTGATCGGCTGTAATTCAAAGCATCATCAGATTTTCACTCCTTGGAGGCAAAATGCATCCTTATCACCATGTTTTTACAGCTTTGCTTGAACCTCTATAAGTGCTTGTTTGGCAGGAATATTTCAGAATCATCAAAACATCAAGGTGTTCTGCTAGGGAATTAATCTAGATAATTTAGATTGGAGGTGGGGTTTTTTTTTGGTGTGGGGTTTTGGGTTTTTGGTTTTTTGCTTTCTCGGGTTTTTTTCTTTGCACGTTCTAACATTTTCAGAGAATATACGGCCCCAAGGTGGGGAATTGGTTGGTCAAGCTTGCACAGAAAAGATGTAAAACCAGCAAACACGTTCCTCATTTCTCAAGCTACTGTGAGCTCAAGTCATCCGGGATTTTGCCAACATGCAGGTTCTGACTCCGGTCCTCCTGGAACTTAATGAGCCGCCAGGTGACCCTGGCACTGCTGGCCCAGCAACCACTGTGGGGATCAGGGCTGGGATGTGTCATTCCTGGTCAAGAGTGCCAACCTGGGCTGGGCAGACCCAGGTTCTGATCCCGGCTCTGCCCCCAGAGCAGCCAGACAACCCTGGACAAGTGGCCTAGCCTCTCTGAGCCTGTTTCCTCATGTGTGAAATGGTAAGACTCCTGTCTTCACAGAGTTAGTGTGAAGATTATATTCGATAATCCGTGTGAAGTATACCAGGGATTAGATAATCCACGTGAGGTACAGCAGGGACTATATAATCCACGTGAGATACTCTAGGGATTAGGTAATCCGCGGGGGCACACCAGGGACGTCTTCAGTAGACTGCAGATACTGTCGCAGCATGATTCTTTGTCTCGGGAGTGTTGTCAGCTGGTACGCCGTGGCCTCCTCATCTGCTAGAGAAACCTCTGAGCCCTCTGCACCTCTCTCTGGTACAGAGAGGACCCTCTTTGTTCCATGTCCTGAGGCAGGAGCTGGGCAAAGAGCAAATATGAAGTCGTGTGGAACAGGCCTGCCTTAACCCGTGCTCTGCATTTCACACGAGGGTCACTTTGGGGACCTGGAAGGCCCTCAGAGGAGTGGGCAGGCCGTCCACACCGCTGGCCCCAAGTCCAACGAGACGCTCCACGGGCTGCCAGCAGGGGGAGACCCGCTTCCTAGGGAAGCAGCCTCAGAGTCAGGTGCCTCATGCAGAGTGACGATAAAATGGACCCCGTGTGCAGTGAGACACTCGTGTGCGGGGTGACCTAGACTCGGGGAGCCCTGAGTTGGCGGCAGACCTTGGCCTTACGCGACTCCGGTGTGAAACACCAGTAGAGGCCCATCTCGCTGTCCACGTGTCAAGGTGGCCTGCACAGTCTTGGCTGTCAGCTGTAGCAGCCACACGTGCCCACTCCGTGGTGCGGGGCGAAGAAGCTGTGGGCGTGGGCCTCCCGGTGGGGTGACGCGCGGAGCTTCCCGCCCTGCGTCCTCCCTGGAAGCGCTTAGGTTGTGGCCGACTGCAGCTTGGGAGAGGCTGCCAGGTGGAACCCCCTGCTCCCCTTGGCCAGTGCACGTGCCCAGCAAACGGCTGCGCCGCAGACAGTGGAAGTCGCGGGACTTTCCGCCCTGGATCCCAGCTCGAACCGGGGAGACCCTCCAGGCTGTGCTGTTTCTCACGTGGCAGCTCACGTAGCAGGTACCAGCAGGGATCCACCGTCCCGACGTGGGCTAGTGATTCTGCCCAGCGGCACCGGGCGGCCCACTGGTGGCCTTGACATCCATGAGCTATTAAGGGATGTTACAGCCTCTCCAGCAGATGATACCCATCTCGTGGTTTTGTCAGTTCAGCAGTTCAGACCTCTGTTGAAACCACCCAGGGCCATGCTCCGTGGGAAGTCAGTGGGCAGGGCTGCGACCACAGACCATGGGCTCGGTGGTGAAAAGTGCACAGCCCCCATCTCGGTCCCCACACAGACCCTCATTCTCATCAGCCTGGTCTGGCCTCAGTCATGTGATTTTCTCGCTGATGGGAAAATAGCGATGGGATGAACAGAAGGGGTGGCTACAGGAAGAAGAGGGGCAGGGGTGACACCCAGCTTTCTGGCTTAGATGACTGTGTCTTCTGCAGACCCACCACCACCCCCTCCACCCAGGGCAGGTTAACCAGGACATAGCGAGCAGATGATGAGACTTCTGAAAAATACTCTTCAGCATCTAAATGGGATGGAAAAATCTTCCTGCTGGGAACATCTACATGCTTGTGAATTCGGAGACTTGCTTCTCAGACTGGATACAAGAATCTACTGGAGCTGCCGTGAGAGATCATTGCATAAAACCCAAACCCCCTTGCAGAGCCCACCAGGCCCTCAAGGCCTAGCCCCCGCCTACCTTTCCAGCCCCATCCTGTCCACCATATTGAATTCCCTCCTGCTCCCAGAATGCACCACGCTCTTAGCAGCCCCCACCCTCTGAAACTCCTCTCACACAGTCCTCCTTAGTTTCTTCTTCCAGAAAGCCTTTCCCAGGTGTACACAGCCCCTGAGCCTTCTGCAATATAGCCTTTTAAAACTCGGTGTGATAACTGTCTGTTTGCCTGCATGCCTCCGTCACAGATGGCGAGCTCTGTGGGGACAGGACTGGAGTCATTCGTCCCCGAGCCCGACACACCCGGTCATTCTGCAAATGCTTGCTCACATCCCACGTGCTGGATGTTGCCCGGGTGCTCGGGAGGCAGCAGGGAGCAAGATGTCTCACAGCCATGCCTCCCAGGGTCCAACACTAGATGAGAGAACAGGGACAAAGCAGAAGTAAATACATAGTGTACACTGGGTCGTATGAAGAGCAATGATCCGAACACAGAAGTAGGGCCACGAGGTGACCGCACACGCGTTTTGCAGTTCTGTAAACCTGAGGCCACGTGATGACCTCCTTTTCTGTGCAGCAGGAAGACAGCCCCAAGGGGAACAGTCTTCCTGCCCTGCGGGACATGAACCATGTTCGTGTCTACTATGGTGAGTTCATATCGTCGCTCTCCTGTGGACCATATGCACCCCTTCACTTCTCTGTGGTCGGTGCGCACCCCCTCACTCTCCTGTGGACCGTGCGCACCCCTCACTTTCCTGTGGACTGTGAGCACCCCCCCACTCTCCTGTGGACCGGATACACCCCCTCACTTCTCTGTGGACTGTGCGCACCCCCTCACTCT